TCAATGTCATCTTGTTAGTAGAAAATAAAATAAAGCAAACAATCTTTCAGAGACTGGAAAATGTCATCTGCCATCTACTCCATAGGTTTTTCCTCAGCTCTATCCGGCCTGTTCATTAATAATCACTATCCGCCAAACATACAAGACATGGAAATATGATCTAGCGGATTGAACCATTCCCACAAAAGACATGAAAACAAATATTGGTGAAATTTTAAATGCTTCACAGCTTTCCACTAGTACTTCTAAGAATCCCCCAACATTCTAACACGAACAGTAGCCACAAACGAGGTAGTTGCACTAGCGCCAATATCAGAAAAGACCAATCGGACACGCCAATGCGACTTGCAAAAGCTAGATGCGGACATTAAAGTAATTACAACATAACTTAATTGTAATAAAGCCTTGACCGCAAATGTATACGTTATAAAGTTGATAGTGGCAATATCAGTAAAATAATAATAATATTATTATAGTATTGATAAAATACAAATATTCATTTGCAAAACCAACCTGTTCCTGTCTTGACGACTTGAGAAATGAGTCCAAGATTTAGAGCATCTGTAGCCTTGATTTGGCGTCCACTAAGAAGCAGATCTAGAGCAAGAGAAGGTCCAATCATTTTAGCAAGCTGGCTCATAAGCTGATAAGCCAAGTCAGGCCCAAGGAGGGAATGAAGCGCAGCGGCTGATGGGAATTACCAAAAATAGGGAATAACTGCCATGTAAATAGGAATTAAGCCAATAAAATAGAAAATTTGCCCTATCATGCTGGATTGTAATAAACCTAAACGATTGGATAACATTCTGGATAATATTAAACAGTAAAACTCGTCTACTGGTGAAGTATGGGTAAAACTAAAGGAAAGATAAGACTAGAAAGTTATCGCCATATAAAATGCCTTTGTCGGTACAATATTCTTGACATGCCGCAGTCTGCTCGATAGATGGTGAGGCTGTCTATAGCTACCTTAAAAATAATGAATCTGGACAAGGGAAATGGAGACTTATGCGTATTTTCACCTTCTTTAGAGGAGCCCAGGCCAAACAATGAATCCTCCTCAGCAATTCGGACATCGCATAGCATGGCTAATTGCAGACCAATCCCTATGGCCCGACCAGATATCGCAGCAATCAATGGCTTCGTGGAGCCCACCTGAAACGATGAAATCCTTGAATATAGCAGTTAAATTGAAGAACGAGGTGTAGATCAATGAAGATAATTTATGGTCGTATTTTCAATAATGATCCGTAATATCGGCTGAAGATTAAATATTCCTCCCCAAACCTTGGCCCCTTGCATTAAGCAATGAAACATTTAGGAGGAAGAGCCATAAAAGTTTGATTAAGTAGTTACAACTTTGTGCTCAACCTTCCAAAGTAGATCCGAACGAGTCGTAGCTCCGCCAACTGCGGACTGGTTGACGATTTCGGTACCTAAGCAGAAATCGCCTCCACTCCTGGGGACTGAGTGAAGCACTCCAGCGCCCATGATCGTCCCCGCTGGGCCAAGCTCATCGCGTACAATACCCGATAACTGTTGCAACAAGGCCATGCCGATTCGGTTCCCCGATGTAGAGCCCGATCCCAGGGAGTGATCGAGGCCGAGAAGTAGAACCCGGCCAAGTCGACGAACGACGAGACCCTGAGCTGAGGAGACAGGAGCGGCCATCTTGCTTAAGGAGGATGCGCAATAGATGGAGAATGAAGAAAATATACAGAAGAATCGGGGCTAGAGCCAAGAAGGCAGGATGAAATGGCAAAAAAAATGAGATGGAGAACGAAGTGGGGAAATGGAACGAAGTGGAATGGGTTGGATGGAGAAGGAATAAGTGATACGGAATCTGATTTAGCCTGTTTGGCTTGGGCTATAGCAAATTGATGAGGGCATGAGAAGAAGTGATTATATGAGCATAGTATCCTTTGCACTTATAATTAATTATATTTTTATAAGATATAACTTCTATGTTGTTTTGTGTCATTTCCGTGAGTTGCTGCGATGACAAAGCATTCTATTTGAATGAGATATAAATACATTATATGGAATTAAATAAGATGTTTTCACTTGAGGCTGGTGATGTACTGATATACAGTTTGGTTAAAGCCAATAATTATGGATTTAATAAGTTA